AAATCAAGTCTATTACTTTTGGGCTCTATAGCCCTAAAGTCGATTTGACAACTAATAGTCGTTATTTTCCAACTTGAAGACATTTTCAAGCCCCACCTTATTTAGGAAAGTTTGAAATAAGTATTATCTTTCAAATGCAGTTGGAATTTAGCTTTTTCAATTTTTGGGCCTACAAATGGGACATAGTACCTTTAAGCTACGGTCGTAAAGGTTCATACGAACGAGTGGTTCGTACGAATCTCCCTGATTTTCCATTGTCTTCCCGAATTTCCATTGTCTAAAAATCGTTCGTAGCAGTTCGTAATACATGGCATTTGTGACCAAATCAATCCTTAACATACGTTATTAACCGTGCTTATCTTGTCGGTGAAGCCTTTTTGTGCCCACGCCCGTAATTTCAATAATTGTATACGATTTCACCCTAACATGGCCCGTCAATGACCGCGTATATCGGTGACGCAGCCCTGTGCTGGAGAAATGGCGCATGGTGCGTGAGCAACAAGCTGAACGTATATCGAGTTTCGGAGTGAGATTGAAGTAGGTGTGTGAATTCAAATAACAGTGTAAAATGTGAATAGATTTGAAGTTCATTGCAATGGGACAAATTCGCTGTGAGAAGGGCCTTACTATGGTTATTTTACCATGTCATGTTACTATGTTGCGTGGACAGACTTCCATGGGGGTGAATGAGAGAATATTAGTGTGCCTTACATATTGAAATCTTTTGCACAAATATCTTACATGCCTAATAATTGATCCCACTGTTTGTGCCGTATTATTCGAGATTAATTCCTGATACTTTTTTCCTGATAAATAAACTTTATTCACGATGTCATTGTATTGGATACCTGCCCAGGTGATATTATTTAACAATAGAGCCATGTGCACTCTATTGACTACCTGCATATTAGAACTCATGAATCATGTCTTGAATTAAAAACTGTGCTCAATTTTCATCTTACGCCTATTCGTATCCCCAGGGATATCTTGGAAGTGTATGTTTCAATTTAAAGCTTGTCAAAATCCCAGCTTACAACATAATATTGACCCAAAGCGGACACTTTCCATTAACCTTACCTGCCCTCCATCAATGTCGGCTTCTTTTCGACTTGGAGTTAGAGGTAGGAAGTAGGTCGGCTTCAATTCCCTTCACCAATGCTTCTACGTGCAAGTCTGAAAAGCATATCGTCTGAAATGTGAAAAGCCCCGCAGGCTTTCATAGTAAGGTAGGAATGCAAACAAAATGTTATGATCAAGACAAGAAGCAAGTAGAGTAGTCGAGGTAACCTAAAACCAGGCTTATTTTCACCCTCCAATCTTTGTATAGGTAAACACACAATGTGCAAGGAAAATGGAAAAAAAAGAATAATTATAATTTTCTAGTTCATTTCTAAACGTGTCATTTCCCGGATAAAATGCGTTCGCCCCCATATCTTGGAGTTGAGAGGTCAATGACCTTTAGTTAGATCGTGTTGACCTTCACAGTATGATGTCGTTGGGGGCGGAATGGCGTGTCTTCACGTGTTATACGGCCTGGTTGTCATGGATTGAGATATCGACCTATCATGACCGACGGGATATCACAAATTGGTTAGAAGTGCCTGTCTGATACCAGATGATAGACCTAATTTTCTGTCCTTATACCTATCACGGAGCCTCTTCTACATGTCTATGTCGTAACTCGAAATCGAGCGAAGGCATCAGACATGTATGCAATAATGCTGAGGCAATAGTACAGTATTCAGAAGACTGATAAATTATCAGCTAAAGAAAGAAAATCGACCTGTAACATGTAAGATAACATGTATCATGTGGGTTGTGTCGGTATCTTTCATGGCGGAGACAACCACACTTATTCTTATTTCCATAACTATTCTTAATTCTAAGGGTCAAAGGGATTCAACGGGGGGGGGGGGATATCATTCATAAAGCACAACAATTTTGGCAGCATATACAGGTATGCCAAGGAGTTACCTGTCCTACAAATAAAAACCGGTTAACACATAACAGTAAAGATTAGAAGAAAAAAAAAACTTGTCAGGTGTCTACGTAAAATTATTAACGAAGCTTACTGTTGAAAAATGTAAGCCTGTGTGTACAAACTTTCGTTACTCTAAAGCATCGTACCGAATCACTGAAGGTCAGATTGGAAATTTGTAAGATAAATAGATAATTGTTTTGAGAAGATAAACAGGCTGCTCATCTCTAATTAGTCGATTGGAAAATTCATTTCTCTAACTTTTACCATTATCTGTTGTCGGTAACTCTGAAACTTCCCTTGTACATTATTGATTTGGTCATACATCAGTCATGATCGACGTTGACTGATCAAAGTGATGAATCGACCCCCAGCAGAGTTGCGTGCTAAACCTTCCCAGTCAAAACACCTGTCCTAGTTATCGTGAGAAGCAGACACCACGTGACCAAAGTGTGACGTCAGAAACCCGCCCCTCCGGATACCCAAGTTTCATTTTTATGTTCTGTCATCTTTTCTGTGCTATTTATGTTTTGATTGGCTAATGTCGTGGAAGGGAAAAGTGATGGATGTCCTAAAGAGGAAAAGAGGGAAAATCACCAGGAAATTTCTCTACAAGCTGCGGAATGATCCACGGTGATTTTGTTACAAATTTAGACACGCACTTTAATCTGTAGTTTGCACAAAATGCATCATAACTTCACAGTAGGAACCATGTATCATTCTACAAATCTTTCGCAATTAGACTTCTGTGTCGTGATCTACTTATGTTCAAATTCTTAATAATTCTGAGCATGACATCGTCCAAAATATCGTTGAATGTAATATCCGTATGGCCTTGTATTACAAGTGAATTGGTATCATCCTTAGTATTTAAGAACTGACTCCATCTGTAGGGATGATCATATATCTTGGGTTGACTCTCGGAAATCGCCCCTCTCTTTGAAATTAACGGTGAATATGCCAGCCGACAGGCCATGTTTTAATGTAATCAAATTTAATTAAGTTCCTCTTTACGATTTCTTTAATTGACTTAGTATCACGAATAATTGCGTTTCAATAGTCAAAATGCAAATTGCACTCGTTTCATTACTTGTTGTTGGCCCGACCTACTTTTTGACTATTGAGTTAGGCCTATATTAGATAAATGTATTCGCTCGTCGCTAGGTAAACGTGAACAAATTTAAGTACACTTTTAAAGTGGTCTTAACACGCAATAGGTTATGTATACATGGTATTCAGTTCCTTATGATTGTGCGATTTTGCTGTTTTTATTTTTCTCAAACATTTGCTCCCTCACCCCCCCCCCCCCCTGTCGTCCCCTTATCCGCTCGCATGGTATGTTGCGTGTCTCTAATTTACTTTATATTCATAGTATAAAGACATGGTGGATAGGCCTTTATAAAAAGAATATGCAGCTGTTGTGTTAGTTTAATAACAGGCCTAAATATTAACATAATAAATCAGAAAAGGAGTTTAAGTGTACTTAACAATTTGATTCATGAAGGTCTTAAATAATAGTTCGGCATATACCATAGACGTAATTACGTCTATGCATATACCAAGTCCATGCATCGTATGCGTAGTGTATCGTTTCTGACATGACTGTGGGTCCATAAGTATCAACATGTCAGATCAATGCATTAAAGTAGATAATCACTAACCTCTGTCCACATATTTGAGGTACTCCGAACTTACTATCAACAGGCGTGTCATCAGAAGACAGGTGCCTGTGTGGGGGAAGAACATACCATTGAAGACTGAGAAGGCGAGCGAGTGCTGGGATCACACTTCTATGTTCGTTAACATGAATTAATATCAAAATACCCGCCAGCTGCACATTACAACTTGAAGACATTGCTTGTCGATTGATAAAGAAAAAGGAAAAAAATAAATGTACATAATGCTGTAAAACTATAGGTTTGGTTAGTCGGCCATTTTCGTGAACAAGATGTAATAAATGATAATGAAGGAGCTTTTCGATTTCAGTACAAGGATATTAACCGCCACATCTAGTTAAAGTTTCTGAATGGCTGTATCCTAATTTATCTGCTAATTGTCATGAGCAAGATAATTCGTCATACATAATCTCCAACCTTACGGTTCTCAGACGAAAAGATAAGACAATTTAATTACATGGAGAAACATTTGCATGCAAGCAATAAGCTCATAAACTTTTGAACTATGGTGACGTCATAGCACGTGGTATCTACCGGTATCCCCTGGTAGTCGTGCTTGACTGTCACTGTAGCCACTATTTCCATTTTCCCCATAAGTTACTTATCATTACAAATCATAGTGTTCAAGTTACTTTGACTCTATAGACTTGACTCTCGTAACATTTCTCTACTATCATTCCAACACCCCTTTTTTCGGAAACAATGTCACCCAATGGAAAGAATGATTCATTTTTTGAAAACTACATGCACAATAGAGTAAATTGTCTTTTCAGATATATTTTTTGAGGGGGATGGTCATGATGAAAATCTTTTTGATAATCTATACCTGGATCAAAAATTGTGATATCTTGCTTCGTTAGATTTTTTTTCATACAGATTTAACAGCAAAGTATTATCTTTACTAATCTTTACTTTACTTATTTTAAAGGTATAGACTAGTTCCGGTCGATTGTGAAAGAAACATTGTAAACGTATTGGTGTGTACTGCAAGGTTCTGGAATCATCGAAATGATAAGAAATTTGGTCCCGTCTTGGTAAAGTTGCAAGCACTGTACACAGAAAGATTTATATGGGACTACCCTATATCTGTCCAGGCAGGATAGATATGATAATTTACCAAATATATCAATTAGTAGGCGGTTTCCCAGCAAAATTTGTATCACCACATATTAGTCAAAACATATTCTTTCACATGATTGGTAATAAGAGCTTCCATTTCATTTTTTTGAAAGGGGGGCGTTTCCAAAACTGGTCTAACTCTATACTTTTAATCATTTTCTCGGAATAATGAATGCATAATAGTTATTCTTTGATTAACTTGTCCTTCTTTTTCCCTCTTATTTCAGAGTGTTCCCCTGAGGAACATCGTATTCTGGACAGTCCATTTCGAAGCGTGGAGTATGCAGCATCAGCTATGACAACTAAACTATGCGATAAATCCATCGAGAGAGGGTGGTACAGATTCACCATTTATGGAAAATCAGCGGAATTACCAACCGAGTGTGTCCAGGTAATGATAGATAAATGCGTTGACGATGACGAGTAGTGGGGAGAAACGCTGCAACTGTCTGATTGTGCTCGTCGTAGTGATGATGCTGTTGACGATAATGATAATGATAATGATCATAATAATTTTAAAAAAACGATAATAATGATGATAAATATGATTATGACAACATAGTAAAAATAACCAAAGACGCGACAATATATAGGCTATTAATAGCGAGAACGTGTCGATGGAATCAATGATAATTGAGATGGAAATGATGATGTTGAGGATGATTCCTTCCCATAATGATGTAGAATATAGGATTGCAGTTAATGTTCATAATAACATGCAAGCCTGCATCCTTCATGTACCAATATATAACGAGTACTGATATCGTTTGTATAGTCTTCTCATGATGAGTGTGTCTACAGTTTCTTGTGAGTAGTTTGTATATTTGTCGGAGCTTTTTTTGTACTTAGTTTACAAAAGAACGTAGGAATTACTATGGACACATCTGATGGTGGCCATGTTATATACCAAGACCGGAGCTGAGGGTGAAGGGCTTTTATTAAAGATGTGTTTAGGAGATACGGAAGTAGATCATAGGCATAAGTTGTCTTTCCGAATAATGCATTCGTGTTTTATATTTGACATTTTGACCAGGTAAACCAGTGTGGGACGGAAGCCCCGATCTGGTTGGACACCAAGGGTGACAGTCTTCCACCCCCAGGAGAGAGTGCCCGGCATGCTGCTTGTGTTTCCTGGACACCATCTACTACCCAGGCTTGTTGCTTCTTCAGCTTTCCTGTCACAGTCACAAACTGTGGTGACTTCTTTGTGTATCTCCTACAGCCTGCTAGAGGGTGTAACATGGCTTATTGCGCAAAAGGTAGGGCCAAATGCAACTAAAGACATGCATGTGTGGTATTTAAAAAGGTTAAGAAAGTGAGACGACTTAATATATAAATTAGACTTCTGTGGGACGAGCAGACAACAAGACTTCCGAGGGATTTTCTTTAGACAAGACCAAAACAAGAAGAGACTCAATTTCGAAGAGTATCCGAGCAGACAAGATCCAAGACCTGATGTTCTTATCTTCTTAATATGGAAATAGGCAAATCGACATTGCGAGACCCTGGATCTGATATATTATGTTTAAATGCCTCTCCATACCCGGATCTTCTGAAGCACCATCCGGCGTTTTGTCTCGTGTTTGTTGTTGTTGTTGATAGCAACTGTCCCCTTTTACCACTTTCTAAACGGCTGAAATAGTTTTCTGAATAACTATAGTTCTCAGGTGTGAACAGTTTGATGTAATTATGGCGTAATCCAAAGACTAACTGAGCCGTATCTCATAATTCCTAATCTACATCATAGCTTGTATCATATTTCAACCTAGTCACGTTAGAAGCGTTACTCGAAAACCCAAAATAACGGAATTAATTTTACCATTACCAAGAAAACTAGATTATTATAGTAGTCTTTGATAAATATGACTAAATAGAGACTTATCATAATGCATGAATTTGGATGTGAGCTCATCGAAATGACACATGTATAAATGCATATAGTTTAGTCAACATTATGAATTCAGACAAGCATTTTCCTTTGAGATGGTTTGATAAAAGAAACATTTTCATCTGGTATAACGTATGTGATGTACAGACCCACAGAGGGATCCCCTCCCTAGTGATATTGGTTTGAAGTAGAGAGAATGAAACACATATGTGATAGTGTGAGTAATACCAAAGCAGACAGCTCTGATCTAGAGAGACAAACGGGAGGTCGTATGAGGTGAAGTTAAACCAGTCCCCAAAGGGTCACAAAGTCACAATTACGTTTCCCCCTGTAACTAGGTGTGAAATCATATTAAAAAGAAAGGTCTGTGATGGATTATGGACTCCCTCCATTGGGTGCTGTCGCATCGTAACTTGTATTCAGTTGATCTACATGATCTGGAGAAGAGATTTTGTTCATGTTTTTGTTAATTTATTTGGTTATGAAATCTTTCAGCCTGGCGACGCTATTCCTATGCTCATGGAATGTGGTGAACAAACGGGGTCGGATATTTTATTCAATGAGTAACATATTCTGCTCTAATTTTATTTTATTCAATTTTTTTGTGTGTGTGTCTTTACACTTCTTGAACTATATTATGATGTTCGATTAAGAATTTTTATCTCATTTGTTACTTGTTAGACATGCTCTTGTATTTTTTTCGAGGAGACTTTCTATCATTTGTTAAACCCTGAATGCAGCTTCCGATGAAAAAAATATTTAATTCTGTTTAGGCCTATAGTATAACTGCAAACAGCAAGATACTAATGTATCAAAAGCTACCGCAACTTTCTTTAAATCTCTGTGAAGGTGTACTAATGAGAAAATAAGAGGTGTAAGGGATTCGGTAGATCCCATTAGGGATATGAATTACCGATTGATTTTTGTTAACCACAGCTGTTTTTCAGTAAACATTGCATTGAAAATGTTCGTTATCTAACTGATGAATACGAACGCAGTTCTTTTTCAGGCTCTCGTAGAGTAAATATACTAAATACCTTTCTTCTTTGCCATCAATAGATTTCTAGGGTATTATTGTTGACTAAAATGTTAGCCTCTGAGCTCTGAGAAGGTGTTATGGTCTTTTCATGTGACTCATATAGCCTTTCATCCTCTATCATCAATAGTTATTAGGGTATACTTCTGTCCGCCCATAACACTGCGAAAAGAAAGCAAGCATACTAATTTGATCCGCTCTGAGTAGGTAAAGATGCAGTTAGACGAACCTAAATCTGTCTGACTGTGAAGGTAAGCCGATATAATTATGATCATTATTCACGGCCACATCAACAAGAAGCAATATAACTAGTCAGGAATTTGTGATGACGTCTGCATCACAGATGTCCTTTCAATTTAATGTTCATTCCTACCAACATACCCTGTTCCAACTGCAGTAGAAATACTGTTGTGTGGTGGCGCTTTTAGAATGGGTAAACTGAGGCTCTTGCTCTCCGCAAAGCATTGGAGAGTACTGGATGCAGCTGATGGCAATGGTAACGTGATGTTCCAATAAAAATACCGTTCCCACAATGAAATTTGATAACGAAGTTACATTATTACAAAACTTGACAACAGAATCCAGGGCTGTAGAGGTGAATTATATGACTGGTCGTGTATTAGGCACTGATGTTCCATTTGGCTTCATCAAGGGCGCATGAAGGACACGGGAGGTTATTGCCGGGCACAGTTGCTATTCCCAAGTCCTGGAAGGTGAAAATAATTATTTCGAAAGCACTGTAATTTGATATTGTGAAGGTAACGTACTTGCAGATGGAGTAGTTAGTCTTTGTATAGGCACTACACCTCCCTTTCATACATATTTGTGTAAGCAATAAGTGGCGACACCTTTCTGATAAAATGATATATTGGCGAAGATTTATTGTGTTCATATGTAAAGTAACAATGAAAATATTATTGTTACGCAGTGGAGAAAATGTTTAAATAACAGCATAATGTGAAACTACATTGCAAACTAAAGTGGGACCAATGCTATGTGAAATTGGGGAACAGGTAACACAAGACACATCGTGAGCAAATCTTCAGTAATGCATCTAACCAAAAGCACTTCCGAAACTGACATCGACAAAATTCTTGCACGAATTTGATCTTAGTAAATAGTTGAGTTAAGGCTATTAAATCGAACCAGGACGTGTTCCGTTTCCATCACGACCCCAGCACTTCCCACTGGACAGATGACGCCCCTATAATTTCTCCCTCCTCGTTGAAGTCAAACGGAGGTCTCTCTATATCAGAAACATGGAATAGTTGGGGTTTGACATTGGTCGTCGTCCTGGCTGATAGTGAACTTGTAAACACAATTTGGCAAGTCTGTAATTGGGTCTAACAAGTAAACCAGCTGGGTAATTGACGGGGGTGAGACACTCAATCATTATGGATACCACTGCTCTAGATGATCGACTTCTCTGATAAATGAACGGAGAATTGGAAGAGTTCCCATGCAACTCTGAACCCCGCGGTCACATACTGCCAAATTTATCTCCGAAGATTATCCCTTTTAAGACTGAAGAGCTCCCTGAGTTATTAAAATAAGTTTCTAGTGACGGAATATTTCCAAAAAAAGAAACTCGCTTCGAAGTCAAGAAAAAACCTATATGGTTCACCGATTGATGAATATTTGTTTTGGTTTTATCGATACAATACTTTAAAAACACCTCCATCCCGACTCCAGACCGACTCTATACAGATGCCATTGGAAATGCGATTTTTGTTCGGTCTGTTGTCGGTCTGTTGTCGGTATGTATTCGGTCTGGTGTCGGTCTGCTGTCGGTCTGCTGTCGGTTTGTTGTCGATATGTTGTCGGTCTGTTGTCGGTCTGTTGTCGGTCTGTTGTCGGTCTGTTGTCGGTCTGTTGTTGATCTGTTGTCGGTCTATTGTCGGTCTGTTGTCGGTCTGTTGTCGATCTGTTATCGATCTGTTGTCGGTCTGTTGTCGGTCTGTTGTCGGTCTGTTGTCGGTCTGTTGTCGGTCTGTTGTCGGTCTAGTGTCGGTCTGTTGTCGATCTGTTGTCAGTCTGTTGTCAGTCTGTTGTCAATCTATTGTCAGTCTGTTGTCGGTCTGTTGTCGGTCTATTGTCGGTCTGTTGTCGGTCTGTTGTCGATCTGTTATCGATCTGTTGTCGGTCTGTTGTCGGTCTGTTGTCGGTCTGTTGTCGATCTGTTATCGATCTGGTGTCGGTCTGTTGTCAATCTATTGTCAGTCTGTTGTCGATCTGTTGTTGGATTGTTGTCGATCTGTTGTCATTGTCAGTCTGTTGTGGGTCTGTTGTCGATCTGTTGTTGGTTTGTTATCGATCTGTTGTCAGTCTGTTGTCAGTCTGTTGTGGGTCTGTTTTTTTTTTATGGTCAGTTTTTATTCTTTTCTCTCTTGAAACAAATTATAATCATAGTACAAATTACAATCATCATATGTAACGCTCACTGCAAATGTGATGACATTATAAATCAGTATAAATTTTTGTCTTACAAACGGCTTCAAAAGAAACTTACATAGTTAGTTCCTATACATCATATTTGAAACAAAAATTCATATTTTCAAAGAAAACATATGCAGTTGTATAATCCAAACATTTTGTTTTAACAATGTAGCAACTTATACTTCTTTTATACTGTTGTCCTGAGAGAAAAGTTTTCTCTTTTTGTTAACCCTACCCTATCCGACCTCTCCCTTATCCCCCTCCCCCCTCTTAACCGGTGGACGACTGGCTCTGGGTTCCAATTGTTTGTCTAATACTCAGGTTTTCCCATTTAGAAAAATGAATAGTGAGAGTTCCCCTTATTGCTGCCAATTTCCTTTCTTCTACTTTATCCCCTATTATACTATTCTTTATTTCATTAAAAGAGGGTGGTTTTTTAAGTTCTCTATTTCTATAAATCAGATATTTAACAAGAATTAAAACATGATTCATTAATTGATATTTTCCTTTATTTCTCTCCTCTTTCCCATACAGAATTTCCTCCAAACTACAGTTATGTATTTCAAAGTCTAAAAATCTCGTGCACATTCCCCACACTGATTGTGCAAATTCACAAGTATAGAATAAATGTTTATATGTTTCTTCATCTTTTTCGCAAAATGAGCATAAGTTAGTCGAGACAAGACCAAAACGGAAGAGGTTATGGTTTGTATATAATATATTATGTATAAGTTTGAACTGAAACTCTCTTAATCGACTGTTAAGTGTACACTGTCTTAGTCTTAAAAATATGTTTTCTATTTCCTTACAGGAAAAACCATAGTTCCTTCCAATTATCTCAAAAACCAAAGGTTTAAAATCATCTTTCTTTATTAATTGTACATAAATTTGTTTTGATT